CGCCATCAGACTGATTGGCACCATGAAGTCTTATCACGCGCGGCTCTCTGCAGAGAGGCAGGGCCGCCTCCTCGGCCGCCTCCGGCCCCATCGTGAGGACACCGAGGAGAGATACGCAAGCAGGTGCGTCGTCATCGTCAGGTGTCGACCGCCGACGACGGTGGCAGCGCCGGGCGGGGGCGTATTTGTACGTTTTTAAAACTTTAACTTTTGTGAACCGCGGTCGATGTTGACCTATAGGTTTTTTGGTCTGCTTGGGATATAATAAATACCATGAGGTATTCACGGACTCCAATGCGACCGTCCTTATCCTTTTGGGACCGCATTATATTTGGACACCCCCCCCCCCCTTCCCTAAAGTCCACGTGGCTTCTGATCAGCCCCTCGGCGTTGGCTGACCCCTGGCAGTGTGTCTGGTTCAACTCGGTGCAAACTGTACAGTCCAGTCGATTGGGCTGCCCGCCGAGGCGAGGCGCCGCGCCCCGCCGCGGACGTTTTCGTTGGGGAACGGATGCAAACTTATTCCGGCTCGCGCCCTACCCGCCCCAGCCCCGACGGCCCCGCCGGGCCTCGCGGTGACCCGTCGACGGCCTATCCAAATTTAGCCCACTGAAAAATAATTGCCCTTGTTTTAAAGACAGTAAACATTTGGGTCTCAATATATCGATGTTCATTTCATAAGTGAAAAAAAATGTATGTCTGAATCGGCCTTTCCCGAGAGTAGAGAATGTGAAGTGTTTTCAAAAGTGTGCGCCGGCTCTCTGTTGAGATCAAAAACAGAGTTTACAGAGTGTAAGTTGCAGATCAACCATGGCAGAGGGCGGGAAAATCGTAGCGTTGGAATTTGCGCTTTGATTTCTGCCGACGCTACGTGCGTACGTGAGGTAGTGTGTGCGTGTGTGTGCGCCCGTATGACAGGGACGACAAACTTATTGGGATAGCGATAGATAGTGAGTCCACCTTTCTGGGCCGTGTCCGTGCGTGCGTGTGTGTGTGTGTTTGTTTGTTATGGCTGTGAGCGAAGGGACAAAGAACAAAAGCCGGTCAAGTCGATGGCTCGACGACGCCACGCCACGCACCCGGGTCTGTTGTCTTTGCGGAACGACAAGGAGGAGTGAGCGGAGGACATGGGAGGGAGGAGAGAGGGCGGTGATGGGGAGAGAGGGCGGAGGAGAGTCAAACGGGAAGAGATGGCGAAGAGGCAAGAAGAGTCCGAGACCCTGCTGTTGCACACCCTGCAGAATCAGGAAAGTTGCACAGCATTTAGGATTCCACCGACGGTGTCCAAGGAGGCGGGCGGGTTTGCCTACCGTGACCGACCATGGCGCCTCATGTCCCCCAGCTTTAAGAGAAGCGCCCCATCTGTGATAAGGGCAGACTCGGTGGACGTTCCCCGGACAAAGGCTGACCCGTCGTGCAACCCTATCTACGGAGAGGGGGAAGAGGTCGCGGGTCGCGAGCGCACAGAGGGTGCTGGACTGGAGGACCAGGACAGGTCACAGTCACAGGTGGCCGTCGCTCTAGCGCCCGGGGGCTGCCCGGGGCTTTCCCGGACAGGTAGGTGTAGGTGTGCGACCGATGCCCCGAGCTCGTCGTCCGTGGCGATTCAAGAGTGGAGGCGAGGGTGCGCGCCATTCACGCGTCCGCCGCAAGCATGAGTGAAGGGCGTCATTCTCTCAGGCAGCAAGTCCCTTCCTCCTGTTGGGCGTCGTGCATTAGTGACTTCGGGGCTGATGCAGCGGCATGGAGCGGGATTTGTGACCGAACGCGAAGCATAGGAGCGGTGCACCCTCGATCCCGACCAACAGCGACCCCTCTGGGCGTCAAGCCGTCTGGGGGCCTAGAGGTGGGGTCCGCGGGGGATCTTCTAGGCGCCGCCTACGCCACTGGGGCTGGGGGAGCAGCTCGGGGAGCAGCCAAGCCCCGCTCCTCGCCTGGGCCCGCCGGGCGTCACTCTGTCTGGCCCGACCGGGCGGCGGGAGAGGGGAGGGAGAGCCGGCGCGAGCGCGAGAGGAGAGAGAGAGAGAGAGCGCGAGCGGGAGGAGGGGAGGCGGGCGAGCACATGTCCAACTGGTTGTGTTGCCGCAGCCGCGCGGCCGCCTCTTCAAGGACAAAGGCACTCACTGCAGCATGCATGCAGGAACCCCTTCCCAGCTCCCTCCCCCTCCCCTCCTTACCCCTCCCGCCTCGGCTGAGCCCGGCCGGCCCAGCTCAGCCGCCGCAGACAAGATGGCGACGGACCTGAGCGGCGCGGGGCCCTGCCGAGTCGAGCTCAGCCGAGACGGCCGCGCCGGGCCGGGCGGCCGGGCCGGGCACCCCCTCCCCTCCCCGCGATCGCCGCCAACTTGTGGCGCTTGGCGGAGGCGGGCGGGCGGATGGGGCAGGGCGGG